GCACAAAGGAAGACTTCTTGTAGTTGTAAGCTTTTTCGTTTATTTCCGACGCGTTTCGTCTCTTACTGAGACTTCTTCAGGGAATGAATACAACTAGCAAAGAACAGCATATATAACACGTTGTGTGCGTAAGTAAAACTTCCGGTGGAAGTGAATAATAACTTAACTATGCTGTAAACGGGCGTTGCAAGAAACGCCTTGATACATCGGTTATTGCGTGTTGCTATATTTGTTTGGGGGCCATACGATTAGCGCTAATCGTATGGCCCCCAAAAAACATGCTATTTACATAGATGTGCTAAAGTAGTAGTAGATTTATAACTGACGATACAGTCTAAGTCTGGTAAATGTCTCTGGATAACAGAAGTGTGTCCCAAACCCTTGAAGCGTAGAGCTGCGTAGCCGTCTCATATTCTTTCGGACGTTTTCAGATTCTTGGTAGCTAGTTTTGATAGCATTGCCTTGGGCACACAGATCGATGTTGTGAAACAAGCAGAGAGGTGATTTGTGGGGGTCAGTGGAACTGTGAAATCTTTCCCCCAAAACAAATATCCTGGAAAATCCAGAAATGGGGTGCTCGGATTGTTCAAGTTCTTCTGGAACGTTCATGGCAGAAACAGCACGGTACTCTGCAGGAACAATCAGAGGGCATTCCACTTGCTGAAAAAAGGATACATTTAATGTTAACAAAATATATATATTAAAGAGATTTCTATCAAAGAATAGATAGTGAGTCGCGAAGCCAATCAAAGAATGCCATTTGTGAAAGAACACTAGCAGATTTATACTAAATATATATATTAAGCATCTTTTTTTTGGAAAGAGGGAAAGAACAATAAAAGAGCACCAGCATGTGCACATTAAGCAATGCTGAAAACAACATACCGCAGTTGGTTTCTTTGCATATTCTGGTTTTTCAAAACAACCAGAATTCTAAGAAGGGAACAGATCTAGATTACTGGGTATCAAGGAAAACAGGGTAAAACAAAAATTTGTATATAGAAGTGAAAACAAACAAGGATATAAAATCAAAAAGAAGCCCCAAATTAAACTAGACAAAAACTAACAAGTTACACTTCTACTAAAGTCATTGTGTTTTTTTCGTAAGACATGGCTGTTAACAGTAACGCATTTGCGCTGTACATATACATCTAATATTCCAAAATGGTGACAATTTTATTATTCTTTTATATTCATGTTAATTAGCCCTCTTGGCCTCAACCGCATCTGCAGAATTCAAAAGAATTCTTAACCTAAAACGAGGCAACAAGGGCCAATTAACATTGACACTAAAGAAGATTAAAATTGAAACCATTTTGGAATAAGGTTTGTATCATACCTTAGACTTTTGTAAATACTGGAATTTCACAAATGGATGCCAACTCCTTAAGCTCTTCAGTGGTATAATTAGCAATGTTGGCCATGTTGATGTTTTTCTCTTTAATCTCTTTGTGGAGAATAGCAGGATCTCCTAAATCATATAATAAATTAAACGGTTTTAGACATTTTATTCATAAAGTACCAAAAAACATTATCAGTGATCATGAGCTCACATGCACAATTAGAAGAAGAAAAGACTCCTTTTGGCAAAATGCAGAACATAAATTAAGGATGTGGCCAGTGTGCTAGCTGCTGTATAGTTTTAAAGGAAGACAAAGACTTCAAACAGTAAATATATGTACCCGTAAACTTGATGTTTTTTAAGTAAACGCTCTTCTTTTCATGCTCAGTATTTTACACCACAGGGCCACGTAGAATTGGTGCAATAACTGGTGGGAGTTCTTCACTATGAACAACAAAATCTTTCTCTCCCTTTGCATAGATGACTTTATCTAGCATGTGCATCTTAAGATCATGAAGAAATGACTCTAAGCTTTTCATTTCCTTGCGTGGAACATCATCCTCAGGATATACAATCTAGTCAAAATAAAGAATAATAAATTATATAATAATTAAACATTAAGGTTTATATACCGGTATTATACAGGCAATTCAAACAATCTAACACTAGAGTACACCATGCAAAACAGATAAAAATTCATTAAATTCACTAGAAGTAGCTTAAAAGAAATACTGTAATATGTCAAAATAGTATGTTCTAAAAGAAAAAAAAATTAGAAAGTAGATAATTATAAGTGAAACTTGTATAATCAGAGCAAAAAAAATTTATCAGATTCATCAATAATTCTAAAATACGCAATTACATTAGCAATTACAGTGCACCACTTTACATTATGAAAAGATCAGGGTAATTTGTACAACATGATGTGAAACTTGATAATTAGCTCTTTGCATGCAAAATTGAGGGAAATATGAGGGGAGAAAAAGTGCTAATGAGCCCATACATTATTTCATTTAAAGCCAAGATCACAGAAAAAGTGATATAACAAATCAAGTCAAAATTCATAGCAAAAGTTTAAAGTGTCATGTTATTTCAGCATTCAGAAGTGATATACATGTATCTGTTCCTAGGTAAAAAAAAATTAAAAGAGGGTGGCAAAGGGCTTTTAGGCGATGCGTGCTAGTGCCAAACTTATTAGCGTGATGTGTGATAGGACCCAAATTATATAGGTGCGGGATGCATGATTGGACATGGCAGCGTGACGCTTGATTTCTTAATTCACAAACATGTGACGCGTGATTTACACTTTAGATTTCCGTGATAGATAAAGTGTCTTTGATGTGTTTTGTGAAACCATGTGATGCATGATGGCTTAAGTGTTTAATTACCATGATGTGTGCTGGCCTACAAAAAATCAGCATGATGCGAGATAGATACTCCCCCCTTTGCCACCCCCTTAAAAGAGATTATGCAAATGAGGCAAATATTGTAAATAGAGAATCCCTATAATTAAATATAGCTATAAATTAAAATACCTTTGAATTACTACAGCAGTTCTTTTCATTGCCATCACCCAAGTACACTTCCCCAATGATCCCTCATATCCCACACACTGTGGTTGACAAATCCCTCTCAGTCAACATCTCAAATGCCCACAAACCATTGTAGAGCAGCTCATTATTTAAGCAATAGACCACACTTTCTATGGGTTTACCGGCGTGATAACCCACGTGGGATGTTGGGAGAACACGAGAAAAGCTTGTAAATCACGAGCCGAAGGCTCGTGATTTACAAGCTTAGTGTTCTGCCAACATTCCAAGTGGGTTATCACGCCGGTAAACCCATAGAAAGTGTGGTCTATTGCTTCTATAAAATAACTTCTGGTAGAATGGAGTCTTTTAGGTAAAAAATATGGTTCTAGTACTGTGATCAAGTCACGTCTTCTCTCTAAAGTCATCATAAGCCAATCATGACTCACGATTTAATAGCGTTGAACTTTCTCAAAACTCAGTTCAGTCAGACAACAAACAGCAGCACTTCAAAACACGAGTTCTGGCACTTATTACATGATAACTTATGAAAGCTGTTTTACAGGAACGTACAATGAAAGAATACGTTCATGGTTTGTTTACTACAGAAGTAGAAATTAATTGAACATCAGACTGTACGCAGCTGTATTTTGTTGAGTCGATCCGTAAGAATTTCATTGTTACAGACGGGACTGACAGCTATTGTAATTGAGGACCTCATTCACTTTTTACAAGCCGCAGTGGTTTAAGATCTGTTTTCTGGACTTTATTATGATCAAGAAATGCTGCGGTAACGACGTGGCTGCATTTGCGAAGTTGTCGCATGTAACTTTATATGCACGTACGGCAACCGATGGAAATATGTCAGTGGTGGAGAAAGGTTTCTTTGCCATAGCCACATATTGGCGTTAATATTTGTCGATTCCTGAAGTCAGGTGGTTTGGGGTAGGTTATGGCATCGATATCACCGAATAATTTGTGCAAATGTTGGAAAAAACCAGCCCGAAACTCTGACATCTTTCATCATCGTTGGCAGCTTGTTTACAAACTACAGCGGCCGATTTTATACCATATCTTGATCAGAGAGCTCTTTTTGGAACAATTTCTTTCATAAAGGAATTTAATTTTGACATAAAATAAATCAAGAATGCTAAAACTATCCGTTTTGTTGCTGGTTGGCACATGGTTAAGGTTTCCTAGAGACTTTCTACACCAGAAATTCACACAGTTGTTGTCTTTCTCTCGGATTGGCATCGTCGTGAAATGTAAACTGTTTTCCAGCTTTGTACTTTATAACTTCTAAAGCTATGGCAGTAGCGAATTGTGAGGCTCAGTAATTAAATGTGGAAACCAACGCTTTTAACGTTACGAAGGGCTGGGTAAGTAACTTTTCTGTTTTTTAGCCTTTCTAAAATCGTTGTTTGCAGATCAATTGCCGGTTTTGTTTATGGCTCGTGGTCCAGATGCCTTTTTCTATGGGTTTACCGGTATAATAAACCATAGGTTTTTGACCAATCAGATCACGCGTACTATCTCAGTTATTTTATAAAGTAATGTAGCTTTTCAGAGGTTGGACACTGAGCCTATAATAAATTATTTGAAGCACCATAATGAATTAAAATGAACACATTGAAACTGTATTACAGTTAAGGAAACTTGAAAATTACCTTGTTCAGTTTAAGTACAAGCTGTTCAGATTTGGCCTTGATGAAACTGGAGATGGGGCAGCCTCTCTTGAATAGTTCACGCCATTCCAAAAGAATATCAATAGCAACGAGAAGTTTGTCNGTTTAGATTTGGCCTCGATGAAACTGGAGATGGGGCAGCCTCTCTTGAATAGTTCACGCCATTCCAAAAGAATATCAATAGCAACGAGAAGTTTGTCACATATGTTGAAGAGACCTAGATGACAAAAATATTTCCACTGAGACACTGATAATCGTAACTTTAAAATCCGCTAATCAGCTCAATTTATTGCAAAAGTCTGCAAACTGAAAATTTTTTAAGGCCAAAGTAGTTGATCACTCCCCTTAAAAAAAATGAAAAAAAATCGACTAATCCAACAACTCCATGTATGCAACAATACAAAATAAAGTGATTGTTTTGAATGAAATTATATGCAATTTGAAAACTTATAAGCTTAATTAGAGTAAAACAAAAATAATAATTATACCTTCTTCTGAAGGGCAAACCCGATGCATTGCTCTGCATTCCAGTGAGGTGCACTCTTTCACTTTCACAACAACATCTTTAAATGGGTTTAGATTAGTGTATAGGATGCTGCCCCCTCTCATGCCTGAATAAATTTTCGATGTTCCCAAGGGCTCACCACAAATCTGACAGGTCACCTCCTTGACCTCGAACACGGAAGGCCACCCATTGTCACAACCAAGAAGGGTTGATGCATCTCTTACACTGACATTGTTGAGGTATTCAGAGCTGAAATGGTATGGCAACTTAAATGTGGAATATGAATTTAATGTTGACAGTCTAGACACAGAGGGAGTTTCAGGTGATGCAGTGTGACTGTTGTTGGGCTCTTGCTGAGATGAGCTTGGAGCTTCAAGTGATGTAGTGGGCATGTTGGAAGTTATACCAGGTGTAAATGTTGAAAAAGATGTGTCTTGAGCTGGTGCTGTAGATGCAGAAGCGGGGTCAGAATCACCGTGCGTGTACAGTTCCAGTGAGCAAAAGAGAACATGAAGATGGACACAGAGAGCACGCGACTTCTCTTGTTTTGCCTTCGAAAGAAAACCTTTACAACTGCATTTGTGAAATGCAGTACCCACTTTCTTAGTATTTTCAACTTTGATATGACAAAACCCAAGGGTGTTGGTAGCACTTGGGGGTCCATAAACAACGTATGTGCGGTCGGAGACTTTGTAGACGGCCTCGCGACCGAGCGGGATCGATATGTTATATAGTATAGATTTGGTTGGTGCATCGCAAGGATATGCGGCTATCTTTGCTGCTGTTAGGTTGTACATGTCGAGGACGCGAACGCTATCAGGGACTTGCTTGATGTGCTGACATGTGAACTCCATTGCACGATCGCTCGAGACATACGCGGCTCGTACATCCTTGCAGTCTGGGTGCAAGCATATCCACAAGTTATTTTCACTGTAACTAAACATCGGTCGTCCCTCGAACTTGTCCGTATCGAATACAGTGCACCGCATATGTTTACAGCAGAAGGACAACACATCTTCTGGGCCTTTGCAACTGGTGCAGAACCTCCAAGTTCGAAGCCGCACTTCGGACAATTCGCAGGTTTCCACCTACTTGAATAGGTTGTGCTGCATTTTGGGCAAGCGCCCTGTCCTCTGCCGCTCCAAGTGGCCATCGCACCCCAGAACAACACGAACTTACTGGACGCGAAACAGACCAACATCACACGCTACAACGGGTACAAACCACAATCTCAAAACCACTACAACTAGACGATCAAGACTAAACAGCGAGAAGCGCCGAACAGTAGGCTACACGCTATAACAAACCAATGAACTTCTTGCAACCACTGCAACGGAAGTGAAATAGCTGACCAATCAGAGACNGATTTGGTTGGTGCATCGCAAGGATATGCGGCTATCTTTGCTGCTGTTAGGTTGTACATGTCGAGGACGCGAACGCTATCAGGGACTTGCTTGATGTGCTGACATGTGAACTCCATTGCACGATCGCTCGACACATACGCGGCTCGTACATCCTTGCAGTCTGAGTGCAAGCATATCCACAAGTTATTTTCACTGTAAACTAAACATCGGTCGTCCCTCGAACTTGTCCGTATCGAATACAGTGCACCGCATATGTTTACAGCAGGAGGACAACACATCTTCTGGGCCTTTGCAAGTGGTGCAGAACCTCTGAGTTCGAAGCCGCACTTCGGACAATTCGCAGGTTTCCACCTACTTGAATAGGTTGTGCTGCATTTTGGGCAAGCGCCCTGTCCTCTGCCGCTCCAAGTGGCCATCGCACCCCAGTATAACACGAACTTACTGGACGCGAAACAG